CCTTGCATACCGGGAATTCCTTTTGACACACCAGTCAAACGAAGTTTAGTCTCTATTGGTAAGAGAAGCGTAATTCAAAGAATGTTTAGTTTCAATTGAGCTTTGCGTATTTAAAGTGTTCTGTAAGAAACGCACATTATTTACTCTCTAAGGTATAGAGTTCGATGGTGTATGACAGATGGGAAAATGTTGGGGCCCTGAGAATAGACGGTCTTGCTCTCCCCATCATTGTATATATACATCTTTACGACTGTCATATTAAATACTAAATATTTTTCTCTTTAGATGGTTACAGCGCCACCTCCTGTTTGCAAGGTGCATTAGTTCACTACATTGAATTATATGTGATCAAACCATTTTTCAAGGAAGTGGGAGACTGTGGTAGCTGAAAATAGGGTTCTTACTGAACAAAACTATAAATTATTGATACAATATACGTTAGTTCCTGCCCCATCTTGGTCTAAGTCAGATTTACGTTATTGAGATTTTGCTAATCTTGCTCATGCAAGAACACTCAAAAGATTTTTACAGAAATCGATGTGACTGAATTTTATTGATTAATCATCATTAAATCTGCAAACATATCGTTAGATGAGGGAAAGGAAGACAATAGAAAGAAACCTATATCAATTGCCAGCCTTTAGAAAGAAACCATCGAATACACACACACACGCCCCCTACCACAACTTCGCTTTCAGACACTGACTAAGTCAGTACGCCCGTCTGTGTTGTTTCTAGGTGATTAGACTAATTCTTTGATCCTGAAGTTTATTGACCGTCTTACAGTAACACCGAAGTTTATTAAAACTATACATTATTGATATGACAGCAGGTAATATTAGCACAAAAATATTATCTTGCTCTATAAAAGTAGTATTAAAATACACAATAGGACCTTTTCTTCTTGTCAAGACATTTGACTAATCTAAAATTATAACTAAGTCAAAGCGTAAAGCAATTTTATCAACGTAGATTTTGCCCTGCGGATAAATGAGTTATGCTGAATTTATAGTTTTAACTCTAGTTATGAGGCATATAAATGTACATATATATATAGCTGAAAGTTGTACATTGAATATTACACAAAACGGCTAATGTATTAAAGGATCAAAAGAGTTTGGCATTTTTTATGTTTATATGCAAGTTCATATTACTATAAGTTTACACTGATATGTGTCGATCATAAAAATAATGAAAAATAGAGTTTATCACACGTTACAGAATGGATCAGAAGATAAACTGGACATTCTGATTAATAGCTCTCGTTTTCAAGTCAACGCACACCTACGAACCAAACTTTAATCTCTCTCAGTTTACGTCATACATTAATGCTTAATGTATTCATCTTTACCTAATGATGAAATGTGTGTAGGTTGTGTAACTTGAGTCAACGTAAAGTGTACAATATGATAAAATTCAATTTATTTAGAAAATGTACAGCGAACCATCCGCGGAAAATCAAACATAATAAAAATAGAAGCTTATGGAACGCAGCGACACCTGGTTACTTACAGTTTGTGGAATTCGAGTCAAGATGAACAAACTTATCTTCAACTGCATTTATAAACTGACCAATGCCTTCATTTGACAATGAAGGAAGCAAAATTAAAGAAGGCGAATAAAAAATAAAATATATTAAAGTCAGTCACAAAACGACCGAAGTTCCCTAGCTATTCTGTCTTGAACTACCTTTTTTTCTTTCTCGACGTTATGAATGGTAGTAAAGTGCGAGAATGAGAGCAATGTTCGGGTCTCAGTAATGAAAACAATCTTCAAACTTCTCAAGTAATTTAGACGATTATAAATCACCCACCACAAAAAGAAGAAGAAGAAAATTAAAGCGACATCAATTACCTTGTCTAATAAATCACTTTTTAGCAATTTTTTCATTCCAATTTAAGGCAAGACTATTAAAATCCAATTAAACATATTTCATTCTAGCATTGACTTCACAAATGGAAGTTGTATGACTCTGTAATATTTTAGATGGCTGAAAGGAGTTTTGTAAATTCTTTAGACATATTTCATTCTAGCATTGACTTCACAAATGGAAGTTGTATGACTCTGTAATATTTTAGATGGCTGAAAGAAGTTTTGTAAATTCTTTAGATATTTCAAATCACATTCAAATGTTGTCTACACATTACGATGGAAAAACAAATTATCTTGTTTAGCACAAATGTTCATGAACATTATAACTGAAATGGGCTTGTTTAACACCTTAAAACTGTACACTTCTTTAAATTACTTATGCTCTTCAGGTGTTTATTAGTTAGAGCAAATTATCCATATGGTGTTCACCACCCAGTCAGGACATGTATTTAAGTAATATTTCTTGTTTAGACTATTAAAGTGTAGATTTTTTCCCTTTTACTATATTTGTATATTATTTCAATTTTTGCATTAGTAAAGTTCTTATTTAAAACTCCAATTCAAAGCAAAAAAATGCTTTGTTTTCAAACAAGAAAAGTTGTAGAAGTATACTATATATTCCGACGACAGATGTAACAGCGTTTAACAACATGAAATCCATCATAATGCTGATAAATCGATGGACAGCGTTATGTCATGACGAAATATTTCCATTGTTGACTTTTCTTTAGTCTTTAATATTAATTATCTTTTTTTAACTTAAGAAAGCAAACCAACACAATAACACCTCAATCGATCTTAAAACAATGTCACAAGATTTGGTGTCATGCGCAATAATTTTGTCTTCACGTACAGAACATTTTAGTCTTCTGTGTTATAATACTTCCTTGTTTTATATGCGATACCTAACGTAACAAGTATTTTTTTATCATGGTCCTTGAACGGCATAAATTTGATGCTAAAATGTAAAATTAATTCTTAATTAATTTCCTTTATAATCATATTTGAAAGTATTTGAGGTGAGTCCTACTTCTTTGAAAGACATAGGCTTACTCTAAATGTCATTGAAAACTTCTAATAAAAACAATGGAATACAGAAATATAAATAAGTGTTACATTGAGTACTTGGGCAATTTTTGAAAGTACATTGCTTCTTCTCCCACTCTCTTGGTTTAATTTTAGTTTTCCTCTTAGAAATTTAGACGAACACAGTCACTTCACGTTTTGTCCATATCAATAATTAACAAGTTCTTGAGTTAGGGATTCCGTATTCCCACCTTCTTGTAAAATCCTTAATTAAGTTTTAAGATGAGATATAATATTATCGCGGTACCTGACTTTGATATAGTGGTTCATCACAATATCTAATTTTGACCTGACTTAACTCTTAGCGGTTCATCACAACATCTGATCTTGACCTGACTTAACTCTTAGCGGTTCATCACAACATCTAATCTTGACCTGACTTAACTCTAAGTGGCTCATCACAACATCTAATCTTGACCTGACTTAACTCTTAGTGGTTCATCACAACATCTAATCTTGACCTGACTTAACTCTTAGCGGTTCAACACAACATCTAATCTTGACCTGACTTAACTCTTAGCGGTTCATCACAACATCTAATCTTGACCTGACTTAACTCTTAGCGGTTCATCACAATATCTAACCTTGACCTGACTTAACTCTTAGCGGTTCATCAAAATATCTAGCCTTGACCTGGATTAAGTCATAGCGGTTCATCACAATATCTAACCTTGACCTGGATTAAGTCATAGCGGTTCATCACAATATCTAACCTTGACCTGGATTAAGTCATAGCGGTTCATTACAGTACTTGATCCTCACTTGTGTTTAAATAATATCATTTTGTAATAATATCCACTTTTGTCCTTGGTTAAGGATATCATTTCATCGCATTTTCTATCCATGTTCTCGGTTGATTTGTGTCATCTCATCACATCATTTAACCTTCATTGGCGTTGCATTAACTAACTTTGACTTGAATTGGTTTATACTATTTCATCACATTATCCAACCTTGACCTGTATTATGCTGTTTCATTTATCTCGACCCAGGCTAATTTGTATTACTTTATCACACTATGTATATATAAAACCTTGACTAAGGTTAAGTTATATAATTTCATCACATTATATAATTGTGACCTGCATTAAGTTTTCATTACATATAACAAGCCTTGAAACATTTTGAGTTGTATAATCTCATCACATTACATAACCTTGAACTACGTTAACTTCTTTCATTTCCTCATTTCTCCTTACATTGACCTGGGTTAATTCATATCGTTTTATCACGTTACTTAACCATGATCGACAATAAACTTGTTTCTTTCAATACATTAGGTAACCTTTACCTTATTTAATTTATATAATTTCTTCTTATTACTTATAAGTTTTGTGTTCATTTTTACCTTCTAAAATCTGGAAACATAGTATGTGAAGAAATTATGATCGATAAAAACAGGACAATAATAAGTTACAACTTGAAAAGGAAATTAATTACAAAAGGTGCCTCCCAGTGGCACAGCGGTATATGTCTGCGGACTTATAACGCTAGAATCCGGGTTTGGATACCCGTGGTGGGCAGATAGCCCATTGTGTAGCTTTGTGTTTAATTACAAACATAAAAAGTGCTCAATATTCACTATTCAGATGAATTCTGAAACGTTGAACAAATGTTCTCTTCTTTTAGAGAATTTAAAAAAATAGCACGCAATTATGGAAATTTCAAGCTAACGCATGGTGTTAGTTCCAAAATATTTACTTACATCTATTTACATGTATCAAATTAGCAATTGTATAAGATATGAGCTCTTTTGATTATCATATTTATTAAATTCTGGAATGGCGTTCCTGTTTCAATCCAGTTTTCACTACTTGCCTTTCAGTTATAGGTTCGGGAACTAATCAACATCTTCTAAACCTGACGTTTAATATTCTCTGACTGCTAATGGAAATTGAGTTCATCCTTTCACTCACCTGACTTAGTAACTTGGTGGTATTTCTCATCGTTCGATAGCGGAGCATTTTTCTAGCAACGCTAACATCTTCCCACCGTAACGTACACATCCAAGCATGCGCAATGAACAGCTTACCTTTCGCGTGCAGACATCACGAGCATTTTATGCTAAAGATGTAAAGTTTCACGGGTGAAGAAAGAAAACCTCGATCGCTAGCATGCGAGTTAGGACTTCGTGGAAAGTCCAGACGTGTTATCCAGACTGTACATAAAAATATATTTCAGAGCTACTGAACAAGATACCTTTTGTATATCACTAATGTAACAGTTTGGTTGTATTTGGACGTGGAGTGGTGTGTTGACTATTGATTGTGCCAATGTCGTCTTTTCAACAGGCTACAGTTCTCTCTCTCACGGCGGAGCTCCCACAATTAGAATGAATCTCTTTTAAGGTTAATTCGACACATCGGATGCTCGTGAAGATGACGATGTGGATGGATTCATCGGTCGTTCTTCTTTTACTAATTCTCTTCTGTCACCCCCAAGGTAAAAAACTGAACGTAAATATCTATCTATTGACATGTTTTTGTTTTCTAGCAGTGTCACTAATTTTGATGTGATCATAAGCTAGAATCGAGACAGTTCGTCATCACCACCCAACGCCAACTCGTGAACTACTTTTGACAGAATAATTAAAGAGATGTGATCGTCACTTTTTATAACACACGCCAGATCTAAAGAAGGGAGGCAATTTCTTTTTGGCGGTGAACCTAAGTGAACCTAAGCTTCACAGTCCAACATGCTAACAATTGGTCCGCGTTCTGGTGTTTATTAAACACATTGATTAATTTTGTGCCATAATACGTATGCTAGTACAAGACAGCCCTCGAGTAGCTTTGCGCGAAATCCAACAAACAAATAAATATATAGTAGAACCACTGTGTTTAATATCTGTATATATACATAGTTACCTCACATGTGTGTTTTTAATATATGTAAGTATTGGATTCTTAATGCATCGTATGCAAACAATATATTTAGACTACTTAAACTTTTCATGACAATAACGTTGATATTTTACTGTCTAAACATATTGGGGATAAATTGGGACATATGCGCGAAATTCGATTAACCAGTTAGAGATGTCATTTGATTACCCAAAGGAAACAAATAATGGGGCCATCTCCTTAAATATACGTGTTATAGGAACATTTACAACGTAAAACTAAGGAGAGGCAAGCATGAAACGTTAATGACATTCCTGAACATAGAGAAACGTCGTTCAACTTTTAAAAATATTATTCTGGCAAAGCTACTTGTTAAAATTGTAAAACCTTAAAAATAATGCTATAAGTTTGGGATAACTTTTATAGCAATTTATTTGCATTAACGTATTTGACCCACGGCCTTTGTAATATTAATAGATTAATGCTCCCCAGTGTCACAGCGGTATGTCTGCGG